GTTTGTTGACCTTAACCATTCTGACTGTGGTGACATGAAATTTTAGGATTTAGTTTGCATTTTGCTAGTGGCCGAGGAGACCAGAGGTTTTGTAAGCATTTCTCAGCTGTTTGTAGCTCATCTTTTGAGAATTCTCTTTAATACCATGCCCCAGTTTTTTAACTGGGTTGTCTGTTTCTTGACGTTTAGTTTTTTAGTTCTTTACAGTCTAGATACTAGTCCTCCATCAGATGCACAGCTGGCAATGTTTTTCCCATTTTGTGGGCTTCCTGTTCACTTGAGTGATGATGTCTTTCACTGTATAGAAGCTTTTCATTTTCATGGGGTACCAGTTTTTAATTGCTGGTCTTCATTTTTTTGTTGTTCTGTCTTTACTAAGTTTTGGGTATAAGGGTAATACTAGGTTCGTATGAAGAATTTGAAAATGTACATCACTTTCTCATTTGTGTGATAGCTGAATAGTATTGATGTTAGTTTTTATTTGAAAGGATGGGTAAGATTCTGTGCTGAACCCATCTTGCCCTGGACTTATTAGTTGGGAGATGTTTAGTTACTGCTTCTAGCTTATCGTTATATTATGGCTCTATTTAATTTATTTATTTCATCTTGATTTAGCTTTGGCGTGCTATACTTATCGATAAACTCACTTATTTCTTTTAGGTTTTCCAGTTTGGTGAAATACAGATTTTTTTTTAAAAGCACATCCTTATAATTCTGTTACAATGTCTCCGATTTCATCCTTAATTCTATTAATTTAAATCCTTTCTCTTTTGATTTAGTTGGATAAAGATTTGTCACTCTTTTTAATCTTTTCAAAAAACCCACTCTTTATTGCAATAATTCTTTTTATTGTTTTTGTTTGTTTGTTTCTATGTTGTTGGTTTTAGCCTTGGTTATGATTATGCTCCCTGTTTATTTTTTTTTAGAATGATGTTTGTTTTTGTTTTTCTAAGTTTTTCATGAATATCATTAAGTTGTTAATGCAAGATCTCTCAAAAATTTTAATATAGGCACTTAGTGCTTTAAAGTCTCGGGAATGCCTTTGGTATGTCCCATAGGTTTTATTATGTGTATTTCCATTTTCATTAAATTACAGGAACTGTTTAAATTTCCTCCTTCATTTCTCTCTGAACATAATTGTAATTCAGGAGTATGTTGCTTACTTTCCATGAGTTTGTGTACTTTCTCTTGCTGTTGATATCCAGCTTTATTCCATTTTGATCAGATTGGATGCAAGGTGTTAGTTAGTTCACTTGTCCTATATTTGTTGAGACTTGCTTTGTGACAGATTTTGAAGAAAGTCCCATGGGCTGCTCAGTAGAGTGTGTATTCTTTAATCTTTGTGTGGAATTTCCTATAGATGTCTGCTATATACATTTGACTTATAATTTAGCTCCAGAGTGTCTCTATTTAGGTTTTTCCCTAAATTATCTGTCTATTGGTGAGAGTAGGGTATTGAAATCACCCACTATCAATATTTGAGCATCAGTCTGTAGTTTTATATTTAACAGTGTTTCGTTTATAAAATTGGGTTCCCCCATGTTTTGTGCACATATATTTTGGATTATAATATCCTGTTGGTGGATTTTTCTTTTAGTAGATCCCTCCCTATCTCTTCTGATTAGTTTGGGTTGGAAGTCTATTTTGTCAGATATTTGAATAGCGATGCCTGCTTTTTTCTCAGTTCCATTTGCTTGGAATACCTTTCTCCATCCTTTTACCATAAGCTGATGGCTGTCTTGATGGTGAGGTTGTTCCTTGGAGGCAGCGAAAAGATAGATCTTGTTTTCTATTCCAACCTGCTAGCCTGTGTCTTTGTATTGGGGAATTGAGACCATTTATTTACATTCAGACATATTATTGAATATGTGTCATTTTATTGACTTTTTATGATATTTTCTTGGATCTCTTTTGATTAGCTGTCATGGTATTATTTGGACTCCTAGGTGCTTTTGCTCTTCTCTTCAGATTGAAGCATTCCTTCTCATATCCTCTGTAGAGATGACTTGGTAGTCAAAGTCCTTTAGTTTGTTTTTATCATGGAAAGTTTTATTTCTCCTTCAATTCTAATAGATGTGCTGAGTATCTTCATCTGGATGGCAGCTGTGGCCTTTCAGAATGTGGAACACAGCTTTCCAGGCCCTTTTGCCTTTAAAAGTTTCTGTCAAGAAATCCAATGCTACTCTTGGGCATACTTTGTACATAACTTGACCTTTCTCTCTTACAGATTTCAATGACCTTTCATTATTCTGTTTTTAATGTTTAGTTGTAATGTGTCAAGGAGAATTTCTTTTCTGGCCTTGTTTGTTTCACATTCTGAAGTCCTCTTTCTACATAGACAACATCTCTTTCTTTAGGTTTGGAATTTTTTTCTTCTGTGATTTTCCTGAAGATATTTTTATGACTTTACTATGGTGTTCTTCTCCTGCTTTATGAGCATAAATCAGAGCTTACATCTTTTCATGGTACCCCAAACCTTTCCATGTTCCATTTATATTTTTTTAAGATTTATTTATTTATTATGTATACAGTGTTCTGCCTGCACGTCAGAAGAGGGCACCAGATCTCATTATAGACGGTTGTGAGCCACCATGAAGTTGCTGGGAATTGAACTCAGGACCTCTGGAAGAGCAGCCAGTGCTCTTATCCTCTGAGCTATCTCTCCAGCCCCCATATATATTTTATATGTTTTAAACTTCTCACTGACCTCTGCTGAGATCCAGTTCCTCGACTCTGTTTCCCATCCCTGACTCTCTGTTTTCATCATGGTCATTCTGTTGTTGAGGTATTCCATTGAGATTTTTAATTGGCTTATTGAGTTTTCATTTCGAGCATCATTTCCTAGGGTTTTCTTAAAATTCAAACTATTTTCATGTCATGGATTAGCTATGTTGTCTCATGCTTCTCTCTGTCTTTGTCTTAGAGTGTCGAATCATAGTATTTATTGTTATTTTTAATTCTTTGAGAGTTCTTCCAGGTTATTTTTCAATAGGAGCCATTACTTTTGGTTTTTCACATTGTTTTTATTTCTGTGTTGGGATTTGAACATCTGGAGTTGGTTTGTTGGTTGCATTTTTCTTTCTTTCTTTCTTTTTTGTTTAATTCACCTTTCTTCTCTCCCCAGGAGTGATTACAGTCTTCAGGAGGCTAATCATACATGGGTTGAGAATGTTGATTACCTCTGTTTTTCTGGTTTGGGGGGGATACAACCTCTTTCTTAGGTCTTCTGCTTTTCAATTATAATTTGATACCTTCAGTGACTTGATCCAGGAGCATGAAACAAGTTTCCCCTAGAACAGTGTGGACCTTCAGATGGGCTAGGACAATGAGAGGGTCCAGCCAGACTTCCGGCTAGGGCTCTGGTGAGCCCCAAATGAGGAAATAGCCTGTGTCTTCCAGCTACATGCAGTGGCTGAAGAGTCCCTAGTGGGGGAACAGTCTGAGAACTAGTGAGTCCCAAAGGGAGGGAAAGGGGCCTGGAGGAGGTCTCAGTGGAGTGACTAGAATGAAGAGAAGTATCATAATCTAAAGGCGCTGCACTCTGTCTGTCAAGATGTGCTCCACAGAGCAGCACTGGGAGATGGAAGAAGAGTGGAAACACATCATCAGCCGTTGGGGTCTGGATAGATTATCAAAAGCCATAGAATCCCAGGGGGAGTTCAAAAGATCCAATGTCTCAGCCTCCTAACACACCACCAAGGCTGTGAGAAATAACATAAGTCTGAGAGTGAAAGCAGCTAGCAATAGGTTCAAACCTCAGCAAAAACTTGAATTCTTCTGCCTTAGTTTTCCCCTCTGTGAAACAGGAATAATATATATCCTCACTGCATTTGTCATGGGGATTCACACAATGTGCAGCTGTGAGTGGAAAGAATCCAACATAGTTCCTAGAACCCAGAGAATAGTCAGTAATGTTCGGCTTGCTTGTTGTTATAGCTATGAATAAATATTGCAGTATAACCAATCTGTCCTGGCCAGATGGAAGCCAATACCCAATCTTGATATGATCAGAGACCATGATGGCATCAGCTTCTGCTGAGTACCCTAAAGAAAAATCAGTTGCTATTCATATTTTATTCATCCTCACGTTGAAATATTTAATCCATGTGGGAAGTATCTCAAGCATTTTAAGTTTCCCTGTGAAATTTCATGAAAACGTGAAAATGTTTTCCAAAGCAATTTAGAACTGTGCCTTCCTAAAGTTGGGAAATCAGATTCACAGAAGGGACACAGCCAGATTACCCAATTTCAGAAGTTGTTTTTCAAGCAGCAATCCATACTAGCATTGGCAATTAGCCAACTTTTGCTAAGTTAAGTCCAGCCTTAAGAACCTCAGTCTTGCAAGGAAGCCCTTGCCATTTCCTGCAGCTTCCTGTTTAACACTGGCAGTGAGCACATCTGACGTCCACATTCAAAGAGAAAGACCGAGTCCAGTGAGAGGAAATCCAGGTTGCTGATTCAATGCTGCGTTTCCCCAACCTGGCCCAGAGCCTTGGAACCCAGCAAACCGTCAGGAGCTATAGCTTGGATGCATGGATGGATGGAATGCTTTCTATGGGTACTTGAACAGGAGTTGAATACATTCCTTCCCCTTGTCATACTGTGGCTTAGGGTCTGAGACACACAAGAGTGAATTTACATCAAACTTCAAGATTTGGAGAGATTTCATAGGAAGCAGTTACAGAACTGTAACTTTCCTAAGACCAAATTACCCTTGACTTGAGTATCTACGATAAAACTTTAAAGTGAACTGCCCACTGATTATAGGGGTGTGGGTGTTTGTCAGGGTAAAGAGAGTCCCCACTGGACCTCTCTTTGTCAAATTATTACAGTGGGCTGCTCTAGCACTCATTACTCAGCAGGTACACTCACTCTTGTTAGTAACAGGTGAGGCCAGCTGTCCTGATTGAGCCAGACTTGGTACTGCTTTCCTTTACAGCATCGAACTTGTTCAAAGCTTCAGGTCACGCTCAAAGACTGATCTATTGTTTTCTTTCCAGGAGGAGGGGAGAAGCACTAGGTACCTGGCACCCAGCAAAACCCAGAGTTACCGTGGAATTCTTCAAAGTAATAAAGGGCCAGATGAAGGCTTCCTTGCTGGTACAACCAGGTCACAAGCCTAAGAAGGTTTGACGGGCATGGCTGGCTCCGTCCCCAGGGCGTACATACTCTGTTCTCATCTGGGCTTTGCTGCCTAGAGCTGAGTTGCTTCTCCTGGCTCCCTGCAGAACCTCCACACTCCAGGAATTTGGACGGAGTGGTAGAGACATCGCCGGCAGAGACGGCGATCGCCAGCTTCCTCCCTGGGGTGTCTTGTGATTCAGAGCACGTTCTGCTCCACTCTTTTTAAAAGAGCAGCATGTTGATGCTTGAGACACAAGAGCAGAATCAAACAAGGAAGCCGCCATTTGATCAAGGAGTCGGTGAGTATGCATGTAGCTCATCCCTGGTAGCCACGGCATGGCTTGGGTCACCTGGAGCCTGGGCGTCTAAGTCTGGTTGCTGAGGGTGCCTAGTGTTCGGGGAGTTTGTAGAAGCTGCAGGAGCTCTCAAAGTAGGACTTAAAGCTTTCAGTCATAACCCTAGACTAAAGGCCACTTTCCCTCCAGACACACACACACAGGCAAATTCCCACTCACTGGGTTCCAAGGCTGTGTGCATGTGTACTCAGCTATGAAGGGAAGAACTGGAAAACATGGCTTTTTCTCTCGGGTCTTTATCTAAAGTGAACACCGCTGAGTCCAGGGCCTTGCTTGGAAGCTTGTGTAGGAAGTGCTTTGGACTGAGTCTCTCTCTCCCACCAGCCTAGCCTGGTCCCGCAGTTAAAGCACTTAGGGAAGATTGCCATTGTCTGTCCACTAGCCCAGCCACTGAAAACACTCTGCTCTGCTCTCTTGGGGAATGATTTTCTTATTCGTGGTATCCTGTCTTCCTTGGAAGGGCACAGTTCTGAGGAGGGGCTTTCTTTTGATTGATTTACTCTCTGTAGAGTAACCCATCTAGAACAGATTCTAGTATTCTAGGCCCCATTATCCCATGAATCAGTCTTTGAATGTACATATGCATTCTTGATATTTTATGTAGCACTCCTGAAGGCCAGGATCTGTCACAACCCTGTTACTCTCCCCATACTGATGAGTCACTGAGTTCTCTAGCACACAGTCCCCATGACTGTAGTTGTGAAAGCTAGTATGTTTATTAGAATATTAACCCAGTGTATATAATTTCTTTAGCATAGAAGATAATCTTTGAGTGTGATCAATGTTATAACTACTCATGATAAACGTGGCACAGCTGTAAACAGGCTAAGTGCCAAGGAACAAGGAATAGGATGCACTTTTGGCAGTCCTTTCCCCAACATAATGGTTTGTTTTGATAGGATCAGGACTTTCCCGAGGCCAAACGTGCAGGAAGTAACAGGAGCAGATCTTCAAGCACGTGATTGAGTTTTCAAAAGGATCCCAGCCCAGTCAAGCAACCTTGACAGGTAGGATCACCGTGGGCAATCAAGAAAGTTCAACGAGCCTGTCCTTTGGCCATTCCCGGCCCCTGGAGACAAAGCTGGGTGCCCCAGTTCTCAGGCGACGGGACATGCTGTCATCACTGTTGCCAGCGTCTCTCCTGCTTCTCCTCCCTCTGAACTGCAGGTGCCCAGCTTCCATGCCGCCTCTCCTGCTGGCCACCCTCTTTCTTCTCTCCTCCTGCTCCTCAGCAGGAGGAAGCAGCCCCCTCAGGGAAGGCCTGTGGTTGCTGAAGACCGAGTTTGCCCTTCACCTCTACCGGAGTGCAGCAGCAGAGAGGAACGGGACAAACTTTGTCATCTCCCCGGCCAGTGTGTCCCTCTCCCTGGAGATCCTGCAGTTTGGAGCCCGGGGAAACACTGGCTGGCAGCTGGCAAGTGCCCTGGGGTATACCGTGCAAGGTAAGAGGCTTTTCTCTCTTGCCTGGTCCCTGCTCCTCTCAGGAGTGGGGAGCTCAGCGCCCAGTGTGCACAGGCACAGATGCGTGGCCATGCGTGAAACACTCAGACTTTACAGCCATGCTTGCTCTCAACTGTGGAGCCTCCCTTCTAGCCTCATGGCAGTACTTCAGTCTTGAGTAACCCCCGCCCCCTCTTATTGTGCCTGTTGTAGCTGGGCAGCATGGGAAACACCTTGTAAATATTCGCTGATTGCTTCAACACCCTTTTGAGGTTGATGATGTCATTTCCATCCCTATCTGGGGAAGCAGATAGGCACAGGGTAGAGGTAACTTGCTGGGTCACATAGCCAATCAGTGGCAGGGCTGGACTTAAATGCAAACTGTTTAGATCCAAGACTATGCTTCTGACCAACCTATGGTCATGATTCTGTGATTTCCGGCCAGTGCTCAATTCATCAGCTTAAATCTGTGTATTGTGTATCTCAGAACAGTTCCCCTGACAGTGGTAAGAGTCTTCAGAACACAGTTCAGCCCACATGAACCTACACTCCTAACGCAGCTCAGCACTTGACCAACTATAGGCTACGGCAAACATCACCTTCCCTTCTCAGTCTCAGAACAGGATGCCAATAAAAAGCTCACTGTGGCAGCTGAGGGAGATTTCTCAGTTCCAGTTATGGAGCAAAAACCCCGTCTCAAAACAATGAACATGTCACTAAAAATGACACGAGTGGTCTTTGTATGAATTAAGATTTGTCAGAAGAAATAATGTCACAAGAAATAATGTCAACCCAGCCTGGCCACTTTGCCGTGGACCCTTGAGCTGGCAAGTTAAGGTTAGCACTCAACAGGTCAGGTACCAAGTGCCACCTGAACTGCCTGTCCTCCTGGGTGCATACGCTGGCCACTGCTGAAACAAGTCTTACACTCCAGCTGGATAACAGATGGGTCTGTTCTCTCCCGTGACAACTGAAACACAAGGTAGTTTTTAGACCTTTGCCATTCTCAGCAGTCATATACCATACCAGTGGACAGGTCCAACGGGCTCCCATTAGAGTCAGCACAGCACGATTCACCAAGTGTTGTGGAACTCTCCCTAGAAGGACCACGACTGGTTAGGGACTTGGCCTGTGTACGTGAGGAGAACTCTGAAGGCAGCAACTCTGTCTCAGGGGAACAACACGTGTAGACGGGAGTGGGTGCCGTGTGTGTGTGTTTGTAGATGGGGGTGGGTGCCGTGTGTGTTTGTAGATGGGGGTGGGTGCTGTGTGTGTTTGTAGATGGGGGTGGGTGCCGTGTGTGTTTGTAGATGGGGGTGGGTGCTGTGTGTGTTTGTAGATGGGGGTGGGTGCCGTGTGTGTTTATAAATGAGGGTGGGTGCCATGTGTGTTTGTAGGTGGGGGTGGGTGCTGTGTGTGTTTGTAGATGGGGGTGGGTGCTGTGTGTGTTTGTAGATGGAGGTGGGTGCTGTGTGTGTTTGTAGATGGGGGTGGGTGCTGTGTGTGTTTGTAGATGGGGGTGGGTGCCATGTGTGTTTATAAATGAGGGTGGGTGCCATGTGTGTTTGTAGATGGGGGTGGGTGCTGTGTGTGTTTGCAGATGGAGGTGGGTGCTGTGTGTATTTGTAGTTGGGGATGGGTGTCAAGTGTTTTTGTGATTCCACCAGCAGGTCAGAGGATCCCCAGAAAATAGTATATGTGACCTGGCCAGGAAACAGAAACACGAATACAAAGGAAAAGGCAGGCCCTTCAGCCTTCAACAGAGTCTCACACAAGTCAGGATGATTAGGGTGGGATGTGCAAGAGAGGGTCAGTTCTGAGACCAGATGCCATCATGGTACCTGGTTAACTGGCTGACAATATGATGATGAAAACAGGGCCTCCACAGAGCCCGTTAGATACTGTCCGGGTGTCAGGAATTCTATTGCAGGACAACAAACCCCTTACATTTCTGAACCACACACTGCTCTACCTTTGCATGGTGCCATCATCAGTCAGTAAGAACAGGGACAGGCCATCCTCAGAGTCCTCTTCATCACTCTCTCCATTTCAGTTGCGTTGTGCCCTGCTTACAATCATACACAAATGCCAGCTACCTGCCACAGCCCAGCTTTTCTTTTAAAAGGTAATACAGGACTGGAAAGATGGCCATAACCTAGCAGTTAAAAGCACATGCTTCTCTTGCAGAGGACCCAAACTTGGTCCCCAGCACTCATGTCAAAGAGCTCACAAACACCTGTAACTCCAGCTCCAACACCATCTTCTGACTTCTGGGAGCATTGCATTCATGTGCACAAACACACATATACACGGAATTTAACTTTTAATATGTTATTTATTTTTAACTAAAATATAATTACATCATTTTCCCTCTTCCCTCTCCTCCCTCAACTCCTTCCCATGTATACCTCCAACCCCCTTGCTCCTTCTTGAAATTATGGCCTCTTTTTATTTGCTATTGATACACACACACACACACAAACACACACACACACACACACACACACACACACACACACACACACACACACACGTAAATACCTAAATATATAAACACAACCTGTTCAGTCCATTTAATGTTACTTGTATATGTATGATTTCAGGGTTTGACCACTTGGTATTGGATAACCAGTTAGGGGAGGGCTCTTCCATGGGGGAGGCTATTTCTTCCCTTCTCAGCATTCCTCGATTGCCTGGAGTTCTTTTTCTAGGGCTAAGACTCCAGGAGATTTCCCTTCTATATTAGCATGTCCATCATCATTGTACTTTCGTGGGTAAAATGTCCCTGTCATTGGTAGGAGACACAGTCTCCCAGTAGATTTCTTGGTCCTCTCATTCTTACAGTCTTTCAGCCCCCTCTCCCTCACTGTGTTTCCTGAGGTGAAGGAGTTGTGCTGCAGGTGTCATCTATTGGGTCTGGGCACTACAGAATCATTCATGCACTGCATTTGACCAGTTGTGGTGTTCTGTAAACGGTCTCCAATCTGTTGCAAGGAGAAGTTTCTTTGGTTAGGGTTGAGAGCTACTCTTATCTGTGGGTATAAAGACTAGATATTTGGAATGTCCTTAGGAATTATGCTGGTTAGTAAAGTAGTGGTTGCAGGTTCTCCTCTAAGATCCAGGTGGCTGGCTAGGTTTCCCATACCAAGGATGTTTTCCCTCTTGTTGAGTGGGTCTTACATTCAATTAGAGAGCTGTTGGCTACTGACAAGATACGTGTGCCACTGTTACACCTCTGGGGGTTTTGTGCCATGCTGCAGGTCATTGTTGTAGTTCTGCTGGGTAAGACTACTGGCTGCTTCCCTCCCTTGGAAGCTTGCACAGCAACTTCCGATACTGTGAAAACGAGTCCTCAGGGAGCAGGCTGTCAAGTCAGATCCAGCTTGGATTCTCTGGGTCTTGTGTCTATGGGGAATGCACAGTTCCCCAATGCTCCAGCTTCTAAGCATTCTCATTATTCTTCTAGGTAAATTAATGAAACCATTTTAGCATGGAGGGTTCAGAAAGGAAGGTGGTCTAGTCCCAGGGAAAGAATTCTGTTTTGTAATTTGAATTTTCTCTTGCAACTGTATTATTTGAGTCTCACAGACTAACACAAGAGATAAATGGCTTGGCAAAGCCCAGCTGACCCAGTGGCAGGTGACAGAGCCAGGGTTCAAGCTCCAGATTGTTGATTCCAAAGCCTGTGCTCTCTCTACAGTTCCTCAGCCCCACTGGGGCCAGGAAGCAGTTGCATCAATTTATAAGCACCTTGCTTTCTTTCTTCCTCATCAGAGGTAGCTTCATCATCCTCCCATCCCAACCACACCTGCTGGGGAGCACCTGCACACACCCCTCTCTGAGTTCTTGAAAATTAAAATATCTGTATTTGGAAGACATTTCTCATAGTTCGAAATTTTTATAGACATGAATCTTCCAGCATCTAGAACCTTCCAGAGTCCAGATCCACCAGCTTTGGAGTCACCTATCAGATGAACTAAAACGATGGTTTTTTTCATCCTTTAAAACCTGTGGGTTTACTTTCATCTTCCTTTTCTCTCTCAGCACCCTGTTACAACTACTTAATTATAAGCATTCTCCCAACACCTTTTTACTTTGGAGGAAGGAGGCTGAGTGGAAGCCAGCAGAGACATGGTTCCACTCAGAGAGCTTAGAGAGCCTTGTCTCAGCTCTCAGACCATTCACTTCTGCCCCTCTAGAAGGCTCTAGAATGTAGTAAATAAAGCCCCCATTCCCCCAGAAAGTCTATGTGCTCCACACCTCCTGTTCAACAGGAGAACAGAGCTCTCCCAAGCAGGGTCTTCTCAAGCTCAGACATTCCTCTCCCTGTGGGCCACAGGATGAGGAGACAGCACTACCTCCGACATGGTGACCCTAAGCAAGTGATGAATGGGTTTGAGTCTCAGCTGCCTCCTCCCTACATCAGAAGGACCATAGCCTTTATTTCAAAGTGTTGCTGAGAGCATTCATTGTAACTGGGACTGTGGAGTGCTGTGTACAATGTTTGTAGACAGCATCAAGCTTTAAAAATCTATTCTAGCATTGCACATTCTGGGATGTACGTGAAAGAGCTTCTCTGTGTGTCGATGGACGGGGACAAGTCAGGCTCAGTGGAGACAAGAAATCACATAAAAATCCACCTCAGGGTGTTCACTCTGCTACTATTTCTGGCTCTAAGAACACCAGTCCCAGGCTGTATTGTGTTGTTGTTGTTGTTGTTGTTGTTGTTTCTCTTTGCTGTGATGAAACATCTGACAAGAGCAGTTTAAGGAAGCAGGGGGGTAGCTCAGTAAGACCCCACATCGGAGACCCAGGTTTGATATGCTGACAAGGCAGATGTTCTGACACATTGGGAAGAGGAACCTTAGTTGAGAAAATGCTTCCCTCAGATTGTCCTGTGGGCAAGACTGTGTGACATTTCCTTGATTAATGATGGATGTGGAAGGACCCAGTCTACTGTGGGTGCTGCCACCCGGACAGCTAGTCCCCGGGTTGTGTAAGAAAGCAGGCTGAGCAAGACACAGGGAGCAAGCCAGGAAGCAGCGGTCTTCTGTGGTTTCCGCTTCAGTTCCTGTCTCTAGGCTCCTGCCTTGAGTTTCCGCCCTCATTGACGGACTGTAAACTGTAAGGTAAAGTAAAATAAACTATTTCTTCCCCAAGTTGCCTTTGGTTGTAGTGCTTAATCACAGCAAAGCCTAACTCGGACAGCAGCTCCTTAGCCATTGCCCACCATTGTTACAATACTGCACATAACTAACTCTCTAGGTCCATCTTAGAAATTCCATCATGGCACAATGGACCTGCCAGATCCCAGCTCTAGGCTCTCCTGCTGCGGAATATTTGTACACTGTGTGACGATGTGTTGCTGTGATTGGTGTAATAAAAAGCTGAATGGCCAATAGCTAGGCAGGAGAGGATAGGCGGGACTTCCAGGCAGAGAGAGGAAGTCAGAGGGATGAATCTAGGTGCACCAGAGATGCCAAGAGGTCGCAGAACAAGTTAGACATATGGGACGGAGAAAAGGTGCTGAGCCATGTGATAGAACATAGAATAATGGAAATGGGTTAATTTAAATTATAAGAGCTAGTGGGACAAGCCTAACCTAATGGCCAAGCTTTCATAATCAATAAAACGTCTCCATGTTTGTGAGCTGGTGGCCAACAAAAAAGCTTGCTACACTCGCCTCCAGGAACTCAGCAATGTCCCTGAATCAGGAAGTCAGGAAAGCGCAGCTTTGCCACTTCCAAGGCCTCAGCAGACTCCCTTCCAGCTACATTTGTTCGTGATCTAGCATGTTTGCGGACCAACTTTTAAGCTACAGGGTTAGGTGGATTTCGACTCAGGTAGCTACGCCATTTCCAGTGAGGGATTCTTTGGGTAGACACACCTTCTGAGACAACCTGCAGATGGGAGCTGGGCAAGCCCTTACAAACACTCCTTTTTCACAGACCCGAGAGTGAGAGCATTCCTGCACGCTGTTTATACCACACTGCACAACTCCAGTCAGGGCATCGGGATGGAGCTGGCCTGCACCCTTTTCATGCAAACCGGAACGTCTCTGTCCCCCTGCTTTGTGGAGCAGGTCTCCTGGTGGGCCAACAGCAGTCTGGAGCCAGCCAACTTCAGTGAGCCCAACAGCACCACCCTGGAGGTCTCTAAAGGCACACCCAGACAGAGCACAGGTAAAAGGGAAACCATCCTCCTTGGCGAGGCCAAGGGCAGAGGGCTGGAAAGAAATAGTGTCACCCATCATTTGTCTCAGAAGACCAAAAAACAAACAAACACACAAACAGAAAGCTGGGATACATGTAGACTGAGTGCTGCACTCCCTCAGTATTTTCAAATGCTCTATGCTGTCTTCAGCGATTTATTTTACAAGGAGTGATCTTCGCGACCAGAGATAGGGCTCAGCTGTGAAGAGGGTGGACCTGGAAGCCCACAACTGCTTTTAACCCCCTGTGGAGGATCTGATACCCTCTTCTAGCCTCCAAGGCTACCTGCTCTCATGTGCACATACTTCCACAGAGACAAACACATAGACACATAGTTAAAATATGTTTTTAATTAAGGAGTGATTCCCTGTCTCCTCCTTGAGCTGCCAGGGAACCCACTCAAAATTCAACATAGGTGTTCTCAACTCACAGCCTGGCTTCCCTTTAAGAAAAAGGAAGACTCGCTGTAGCTATTCGAAGCGATGACTATGGAGCTGGTGAATATGCTCAGATTCAAAAGCAAGGATCTTTTGGGGGGTGACTGGGTGGATGGTAGTATGTGGGCAACTTCTCTGAGCCCCACTCCTCTCATCTGGGAAATGAGGAACGACACCAAAAAGTCAGGGAGATTTCTTCAAGCATTTAGGCAGAACCTGGCCCAGAGTGTGTTTATTAAACATCTGAAGGCCTGGAACAGAAACTGTCCCTGCAGGAACAGTCTGCTTGCTCCTTCCTGTTCTTACATGACGTTCTAACCGCAGCCCTCCCCAGACTGTGTTCTGATCGCAGCTGCCTCAGCAAAGGTGTGGTGAGGGATGCAGCTCAGCAATTAGTGGGCCCCAAGATGGGGGTGACAGAGTGAAGTCTCCTCTAGTCGTAGGGCCCCCATCCCTGCAAGCATCTGCCCAGGGAGACTGCCTGCTGATCTCTGGGAAATGACTCAACAGACCCGGGGCATTCTGAGCACCAGCTAGAAACAGGGAGGGAGGGAGACTATAATGAATACGTGCTAATAAGAAGGCTGCAGTTAAAATTCTAAGGTGCCTCACTGTCCCTGAGCAGGAGTGCAGTTATCAGGGACCCACTGGGAGCCTGAGTTCTCACTCCCCATTTCCATGACAATAAGTTCAAAGCCAGTTAGCAGCCAGCCACTGTGGGTCCCTTGAGCATATGGAATTAAAGCTTCTCTGATAAACTGAAAATAACATGAATCAGGAGGAGGAGGGGGAGGAAGGCGGGGGTAGAGAGAGGAGAGGGAGAGGGAGAGAGAGAGAAACAAGCTCTTCTATCTATAGGTGAGGGCCCAGGTAGCCCACTGTGGGGACGGGCTGGTGCCCTGTCTACTCAGCTCTCCATCATGAGCACCATGACCTTCCAAAGTACCTGGCAGAGGAGATTCTCTTCCCTGGCCTGGCAGCCCCTGCCTTTCACCTGCGCCCATGGCCTCATCCTTCAAGTCCCAGCGATGCACCAAGTGGCAGAGGTCAGCTATGGTGAGTCCTCCCCTGCTTCACATTCAGAAAGTTAGAGGAAACCCAGCAACTCAGACAAGAGAGGGGAGGTGGTCTCTGTTTTATAGGACACATGGGTGGGTGAAGGAAAGTACAGAGTCGCAGGAGACTTACAGAGGGACCTTGGATGGTGGTCCATCCGGATGCCAAGGACACAAATGTGGAAGAGAACCCAATTTCATGCCTGGCATTGGCCTCTGCACTGAGTATGAACATGATCGTATGAAATCAAAAATGCCTGGACCAAACACCTCTCCTAGAAGACACTTTCATGGCAGAATACCCAGCCCGGACCAAATGAGGGCTAAAAGGCCTCCAGACTACAGGGCCCCCTGGTCCTGAAATGCCATTGCTCCATGTGGCCCTCCTGCCTATGGTTACTTGTCCCGAGCCATGGGGGAGGTTCCTAGTGTCAGCAGATGCCCGGTGGTCTCAAGTATGCTATAGATGCCAGCGGCCTCTATGCTAAGGATGAGCCACAGCTAACACTCATCTCCACCTTTCTCCCTAAATCCCCCCAGTAGCACCCCATCCCTCCTCCAGCCCAGTGTGCTCTGCTGCATTCTGTCCCATCACATCCTTCTGCAATCACACTCTGCCTGGCGGCCTGGACTTGTCTTCAACCAGCAATTTTCTTTACCCACAAACTCACAGGTGCCCAGCCTGAGAACTATCTGTTTACGTCACAGTTAAGCACGATCAGTCCTCAAGCCAAATCCAGCCAGGATGGGTGTTTTGTTGGGTCTGTGGGGTGTTTCAAAAGTTGGGAATTTTTCATAGGAAATGTCGATTTAAAGCCTTTCTTGAAAAACAAGATGTAAGACAAAGGTCCTGGGCCCCAATAAGCCCAGTCTGGTCAAGCTCCCTCAAGACATTGTCCCAGCAGGCTCAGCTGCTATGGATCCTTGAATAAGGCCCCATGGGAGATCTTAGAGGGCTTTAGGATCAGTAAAGGGGCCATGTCACCCAACAGTTCCCATACTCAGACTGCTTCCTGAGGCTGAAATCGGCACTCTCCTTTACTATTGCTGTCTTGTAAGTCTGCCTACCCCAGGTTATAGCATGTATGGTTTCCCTGGCTCCTAAGACAGAGCTAATTCCTGACCCACTGAACCCTTAGGTCAGTTCCAGGATGCTGCAGGCCATGAAGTAGATGTTCTAGAGCTGTTGTACCTGGGAAGGGTGGCCAGTTTGTTTCTGGTGCTTCCGAAAGACAAGGACACCCCTCTGGACCTCATTGAACCGCACCTCACAGCCAGAATCATCCATCTCTGGGCCACCAGGCTGAAGAGAACCAGGATGGATGTGTTCCTTCCCAGGTAAGTGGCTGTGTCTTCCTTACAGGGGAATCAGTATGGTAACCAGTGGGGCTTAGCAGTCAGACTCCAAGGCCTATCCTCCTACTGGGCTAGCTTGTCAAATGAGCTTAGGCTAAGGAGAAGCTCCCTGGGGGTCGAGTCTCTTCTAAAATCACTGCAAAGTAGATCATGGCGCATACACTTGAGTTAACTTTCTGGGTCTTCCCGAGATGAACTACTCTCCCTGGGCCGACTCAAGTCCCTACTTCCTTGCTCCGGAGGCATGCCACCATGGAATAAAGAAGTGTAAGGAGGCACCCTTGTGGGCACAGCTGCCATTGCCCCCAAACCAAAGAGACAAGATGGCTTATGTAACTGAGAAAGCAGATATGTAATTCTAGTCAGAAGCCACATTAGGACACAAAAATTCAAGAGTTTTCCAGGCATAGTGGTACAGCTGTAAATCCAGATAGCCAGGATGATGGTAGTCAGCAAGTTCAAAGCCAGCCTGGGCTACAGAGTGATTCCTACTAGCCTGAGCAATTTAGTGAGACCTTGTCTCTATTAGCTAGTACATTCAAGATTTGACATCTTTGTGTTGAAGATACATTTGTTCTAAGTGGGGAGCTTCCTTCCCTGAAGAAAATCCAATAGATAAAAATACAAATTGAAAATAAATAAATAAATAAATCTAATGACAGTGCTCTTGTTTTTCAAAGCAAAGATGTTAGCAAAACTCATTGTTTTACCAAAGGGCTCTGCCTAGAGTTTTTCAAATGATGAGCTTGTCTGGCCATTTGAAGATTCAGCACAACTTTGCAGGTCAGCATTAAGTGCATAGTGTTGATGTCCAAGAGCTTGTTTGCAGCGCACGAATTCTTCACACTCTTGTCCACTTAGGGCCTTGGTTACACTCCAAAGCCAGGGCTCCCAGTGGGCAAAGGCAAAGGCCTTGGCAGTGCTCCCTCCCAGTGCTCCCTCCCCCAGGCAGTTAAAAATAAGCCCATCTCCTGGATCAAAAACAGGAGAGACCCACGGAGGCAGGGCCCTGGTCTAAAATGAGATCAGGCTTAACAAAGAGCCAAAGGTGAACTCGAAGCCAAGACAAACCTATCTCTCAAAGGCAAATGCTCAGCCCCTATCAGCGCCCCCCATCTTGTTACAGTTGGGAATAATTAGTGCAGGAGGGAAGGCAGCTCTTGTATTCAGCGTGGAGAGAAAGTGCAGCCCAGTAAAGAACCTGCTGTCTCACATAAAGATGAGTAGCTTAGCCTGGAGTGCTAATATAAGGAAGAATCCCAAGGAAACAGCTCTACAGAGAGAGGAGAACATCACACTGGCATTCTCTCAAGCCCTCAGCAGTGACCCTGAAAACTCAGGGCAGAGGAGGAGGAGGAGGTCTGAGGGCCTCAGCAATGACTTAAACAAGCTTGTTCTGATAAATAATCACCCCATGGTATCCAGCATCTAATCCAAGACTAATAGATTTTTTGGAAAATAAAGCCATTTATTTCATAAACAAAACCAATCTTACACACACACACACACACACACACACACACACACACACACACATACACACACACCAGACAGACCAAAGAATCAAAATCAACCAAACAAAAAGCCTAGTTGTAAACTCTTTAGGGTAGTGGTTCTAAACCTGTGGGTCGTGACCCCTTTGGGGGTCAAACAACCCTTTCACAGGGGTCCCGTATCAGATATTTACATTACGATTCATAACAGTATTAAAATTACAGTTATGAAGTAGCAACAAAAATAATTTTACAGTTGGGATCACCACAACATGAAGAAACTGTATTAAAGGGTCACAGCATTGGAAGGTTGAGAACCAGTGCTTTAGGGAATAAACCGAAAAGTTAAAACTGCTTTAGGTTTGGATTTAGTTGGACCATGATAGACATAGCCAGGTTTATGTTGCTTGTTTGCTTGCTTGCTTTTTAGACAGATTCTTACTATGTAACCCTGGCTAGCCTGGAACTTACTATGTAGGTCAGGATGGCCTCAAAGGCACAGAGATCCACCTGCCTCTGCCTTCTAATGCCAGGTTTAAAGACACATGCCACTACATGCCACTACACAGCCAGCTTTTGAGTAAGAATTTACCTCTGGCTCCCTCAAATTATTCACTAACCATTTAGCATAATGTGGTCATCATATCGATTTCACTGAATGAGAGCCCGAAGAGCTTACACCGTGTGGACAGCAGTGTGTGTTGTCGAATGTACTTGGCATGAGCCCATTGGGTGTGTTTGAGTTTGAACATCACCAAGCAGTTCTCTGAGGTGAACTAGGATGCCGTCTCCTAGAGCAATCATTTACTTATAAAATTAAAAAAGGATCTTCAGCTTTCATCAAGATCATTTAACCTATTCAATAATCAGGAAAACCAAGAATGGATGTTTATAGGCCATTGATAGCCATCATCATGCAATCATATCCATATTCCACAGAAATGACTAATAATGCCAAATATAGATTTAATGACTAAAATGCTTGGTTCTATGTCCATAGAGGAGAAGACTAAGAAAATTCACAATATTAGATATGATATTGTACTAGCCTGCTTTGCATTGGTTTGAAAAACAATGCCTGAAACTAGAAAGTAATATGTTTATGAATATAGAACAGCTCAGACGAGCCAGGACTACATAGTGAGACCCTATGTAAAAAATGAACAAACAACAAAAACCTGGCTGTGCCTACTGTGGTCCAAGGTATATTTCTAAATCCAGATCTAAATCAGTTTATTCCCTGATGCATTATTTCTCTCTGTCTCTCTGTCTCTCTCTCTATCTCTCTGTCTCTGTCTCTTTCTCTCTGTCTCTCTCTCTCTGTCTCTGCTCTCTCTCTCTCCCTTTCTCTCTCTCTCTCTCTCTCTCTCTCTCTCTCTCTCTCTCTCTCTCTCACACCCACACACACACACACACACTTTATAGATAGCATTTAGTTCACAGTTCCGGAAGTCTAAGAGCCTGGCACCAGCGTCTGCCCTGCTCTGTATCGTGACACAGAAGATGAAATGGTGACAGAAGCAGTCACACGCAAGAAAGCATGTGAGAGAGATGTAGGGCCTGACTTCCTCTTTTGCGCTGAGAACCACTCCCGTGGAAAGCAACAGCAGAACTATGTTTCTAGCCCTCAAGGGTTGTCCTGAGCGGTCACCCTCTATCAGGCCGCACATCCCAAAGGCCCCACCAACTCTATACCACTACCCTGGGAGCCAAGCTTCCAGCACAAGAACCTTTGGGGACACACCCAAGCAAGATTGAAATGATGTAACTGAGTTTTGCCTCCTTGAAGAAGTCACTGGCCACCATGACGTGCAACACTTTTCTAAGGACATTCTCTCTCTCTCTCTCTCTCTCTCTCTCTCTCTCTCTCTCTCTTAAATGTGATATAATGCCCATAAAAGTCACTTTTAAAGTGCACATTGAGCTGAGTGTACTGGTACACTACTTTTAATCCCAGCACTCAGGAGGCATAGGCAGGCAGATCTCTGAGAGTTCGAGGCCAGCCTGGTCTACATAGTTAGTTCTAGGACAGCCACAGCTATTTAGCAAACCCTATCTTAATGAATAAATAAATAAGTGCACATTGTATGTCTTTTTTAGTATATTTACAAAATTGTGCAACCATGAATACTAATTATAATTTTTTTAGAGTGTTTCACATAGCCAAGGATGACCTTGAACTTCTGATCCTTCTGCCTCTGGATGCCGAATCCTGGACTCATAAGTGTGTACCAGGGCAGTTGGTTTATGTAGTACTGGGGATCAAACTTGGGGCTTTGTGCATGCTAGGCAAGCACATTATCAACTGAGCTACACCTCCAACCAACTCCAAGTTCTGAAAGGTGTTCATTACCTTAAAAAGAAACTCATATTCATTAGTCATCACTTCGCAGTGCTAGGCAGCCACTCTTTTACTCTCTCTATGGATTATCTTTTAGGGATAGTTCATGCAAATCAAAAAGTACAGTGTTAGCCTTTTTATTGGACCTTTTTCACCTAGCACAAAGTTTGAACATTTCATCTCTTTGTAATGACTGAATAGCATTCTAGTGCATGGAAATACCATATTTGATTTAAGCATTCTTTTTAAATGTTTTTAATTGAAATGGAATAACATTACTTTTCCTCCTCCCTTTCCTCCTTCCAGGCCTTCCCAGCTAACCTCTCTTGAGCCCCTCCCATGCCCCTCCTCAAATTGCTATTATAGTTACATACACACAGCAGTCATTAGCTGCCTTCAGTTCTTTATCTGGAGGTGTGACTCAGGAAATTTCCCCCTTTCATGTTAACAGGTTCGTTGAGATGGCCACTGCTCTGGTCTTGTTTATGCAGTCATTTCTAGGAGATACTGTTTTGTGTAATTCCTAAAAATCATTGCCTAATTAAAGTCTCAAAGATCAATGCCTAGTTTTCCCAAGAGTTTTATATGTTTCACTCTTACTTTTAGGTTTTTGGTCCACTGTGAATTAATTATTGTACCCTTGACAATTTGAGGGCCAGGGAACACCACCCTCCCTTGCTGTAGGAAATTTCCACAAAACTACTAATAGCCTGCTCTTGACTGCTCTTGTCCCAATAACAAGTTGCTACACACCATATGTATTTTGTGTGCAGTATGTATTATGTATAGTTAAAAATAAATGAGGCCCACAGGAGACCACTTCTAACTGGCCATCTTCACAGGAATAGTGGGGGGAGCACTGCAGATGCTCAACAGAAGAGGCCGTGAAATGATCACACCAGAGTGTCAATCTTACGCAGTTATGAATCAACACAGCATTTTTGCATCTGCTCACATTTTCAAAAGTGAAACTGCTGCATGTGGCAGTCTCAACGTGTATGTTAAGCTTAACTTGTTTTAATAAGTTTGTACATATCTTCTTGTAGTAAACAGCAAATTAGACCATAAGTTTTATGTATATGACATACATTCCCCTTCAGCATTATTTTTCTAGGCTGCATAGTTTACCTGTGAGATTTTCAAATTGTTGAAAATTTTCCAATTTTCCATGTGTAAGTGGACCCATCAGTTGAATGAAGCCCATGTTATTTTTAGAGTTAACTGTCTTGAGTGTGAAGGGAGGCCAAGCCTTCATGTGTTTGCATGTGGTGATTGGCCTGGCATCCTATACATTTGTTGAAAGGATCATTCTTCCCTTCATTATATGTTCTTGACATCATTGTCAAAATTAATTGCCAAACATATGGGTTTATTTCTGCACTCTCAGTTTGATTCTATGGGCATAGATTCTTGTATTTTTACAGTGTTGTGTCATTGTGGCTCCTAGAACACCAGTCAGTCTAGAAATCAGGAAGTGAGTCCAACCTTGTCCCCTTCTTCCTAAAGACTTTTACTTACGAATTTTAAGATCAACCTTACCAGTTTCTACCCCAAACAAGCAAGTTGGCATTAGACATGGGGATGTCTTGAATATGTATGTGAGTCAGGGAGTGCTATCTTCTGACATGGGTGTCTCAAGCTGTGAGCTCTGGATGCTTCCCATTCAGTTCACTGTTTCTCTTGACAGTGTTTGGTGCTTCCGGGGATTCATGCCTTGCACTTCCTTTACTAAATTTATTTCTAAGTATTTGGCTTATTTTGGTGGATTAGAATTGGAACTACTTTCTGAATTTCATCTTCACATTGTCAATATTAGAAATGCCATTGATCTTTATATATTTTGATACTGTATCTCAAATGAGATTATCTCAAATTAGCTCTAATAGGGTTTTTGAGTGTTCTTCAGTATTTTCTACACATAAGACCAAGTCATCTATGAATTCAGATAGTTTCTTCTTCCCTTTTTAAACTCTATTTTATTTTACAACATTTTTTTCATGGTACTGGGGACTGAACTCAGAGCCTCTTGTATGTTAGGCAGGTGCTGTACCACTGAGCTATATCCCTAGCCTTTACCTCCTTTCTAATATGGATGCTTTTATCTGTCTTGTGCAACTGCCTTCCCCATCCTCCTGCACAAGACCAAATAGAAGTGGTGAGAGTGGATATCCTTGTCTTGCTCTTGATCTTAGATGGAAAACTTGAAGGAAAGATGCTAAGTGTGGGGAGTTTGTGGACATTCTTTATCTTGAGTCACCTCATGTCCCAAGTTGGCTGAGTATTTGATGCTTGTTGGGCTTTTTGTTTGGACATTGTTTTTTGTTGTTTTCAGCAGTGAGGTTCAAGCAAGCTAGGTAAGTGCTCTGTCATTGAACATCCCCCTAAGTCCTGTAGATTTTCAATCATGAAAAGGTGTTAGATTTTGATAAAAGCCTTTTCTGCATCTGTTGAGATGACCATGTGATCTTAACCCCTTACTTTATTAACATGTGTTATCTTATTTTCATGTCTTGCATTCTTGCAATAAAGTCTACTTGATTGTGGCAGGATTTGTGTGATGCTGGATTCAATTTGGACCCAATTCATTTCAAGCCAATCCCTACTATGTTGTTGAGAATTCATATGGAACATGGCTTTGTTTTCTTTAATACCCTGGTCTAGCTTCTGTACAGGGTAGGCAGCTTCTTGGCTGTTTATTAGAGTTCCTGTGCCATTTCTTCTAGTTCTACTTTCATAATCATACAGGAACATTACTGGAATCTTTTGAAGTCAGACCTGACTTGCGTTGCTGCTACTTTACTAAAACATGGTATTATTATTCAGTTTTCTCACCCACGTCTTTGGTTTTAAAGAGAATTTAACTTTCTTAATATTGTTGTGAGCCACCTTGAAAACACAATGCTAAGTGCCAGGGCATTGTACTGAACTCTTTACTCTGCATTGAATTGTCACAACCCTATTTAGATTTGATTGCTGTCATGCTCATTTCACAAAGAAATACAACCAGGAAATAGAGGTCAGGGAACTTGCCACTGAGTCTGTAAAGTAAGAATTTCCTGATGAGAAGACCCAAACTAAAAAACCAGGTCCATAGCGCTAAGTATTACATTCAGCGTTTACAGTTTTCGAAAAGGATGTTCTCTGTGCTTAAGACAATTTCAGAAGTGGGCCGAATAGTTTGAGAAATGTCAACATACTTTTTTGCTTTTCTAAAGTTATGTATGGTTTATACAAAAGACCATTTAAATTATATTTGTTGTTTTTTTTATTTTCAAAGACAAATGGCAGATGCAGTCTATTTGAAGGCTTCTTCAACAGCAAATAAGTGCTTTCTCCTCGGGAAATGCTGATGTGCTGATTCTTTCTGCTCTCAATGGCTTACTGGGCAATTCAAGGCTGAGTTCCTTCTCTGCTCACATCAAAGGCACATACTGCACACAGCAAACATGAAAATTTGTTACACAGTAGAAAAAACCATACAAGGCACTAGAGCTACTTTTATGCATCTATTATATCTGAGATTCTACCCAAATGTGAGGAGCAAAGTCCAAGTGATCGTGGCTGGGCTTCCATAGCCCAGATTTGAACTGAGGTGCACCACATACTCTGTACATCCTAAGAGTACAACTTTGCAAATTGGGCTTTAAGAACCAGGAGTGCCCAGGCTAGAGGTGGAGCTCAAGTAATAGAATATTAGTTGAGTATGCAGGGGGTCCTGGATTCTAACTCCAGTACCATTTTGAAAAAGTCAGAAAATCTGAGTAGGAAAGTAATAGCTGAGGAATGGAGTTACTAAAAGGCAGTCAAGGAAAACAGGGCCATCATAAATGAGCAGTATAGACACGCTGGGGAAAAGGCCAGAGGGGTCAGGTTGGTCCCAGGTCTGACTCAAGGGAAGGAATAATGAAGAACACAGCGGGGTGGGAGTCCAGCGTGCACTGATCTCCAGTTAGAACCTCATACTTCATGCGGCATGTGTGCGAGAATAGTGTGAATCCTAAATAGCAACTGATAGTTTGCTTTTGTTTTGCAGGTTTCGGATCCAAAATCAGTTTGACTTAAAAGGCATTTTAAGATCATGGGGTATCACTGATCTTTTTGACCCACTCAAAGCTAACTTGAAAGGAATTTCAGGTAATAATTTTTCAATTCTTCCAATCTTTGGGGGGCATTATGTTTGGGACAGTTTTGTTAGACTCTGATTAAAAGAATCTTTGTTTCCATAGAGCTTTTGACAGTAAAACACTTGATTAAAAGAATAAAGTGGTTGGCTTTATGTAGGAATGTGGTGCCTCTGATAACATCAAGTTTGGATTAGATTTGGTGGGTGAGGGTGCTCCTTGGGGATATTAAGCACGGAATTGGAAACCACCTTCACAGTGGAGCAAGTGGCCATAAGTAAAGAGCCCTCCCTCTGCCATGACCAGACTCTCATGAAGACTAAGGCAGCACCAGAACCTTCAGCATCATGGTCATCCCATTGCAACCCTTTTCCTTCCTAGTTGTCTGTAACTTTGTGATGAGCTAAGTGTAAACCTTTCCTTCATCCATTCCTCAGACTTCCCGTGCTTTCATGACCTTGCCCCAAGATGCTCTTCTTCTTAGCATCCATGCTCAACTTCTTTTCCATAGTTAACATGCTGCTGCTGATCCACAGAGACCATGTTAGCCTGTCGTCTGAGCTTACATTGCACACACATCTACTTGGAGAATATCTTGAGGGAACCACTCCCTCAACTTTTGCCAACTCAAAAGGCCCTGGACTGTATCTACTCTACAGATTAGCTGTGAGGAGAAAACACTGCAACAGACATTCTCATTAGTCTTGACATTGCCTTCACTTGGTGAACTTGAAAGTTACCGTCTTAAACACCAGACCATTGGAACACCTGGTACTAAATCTTTGTTCAGAATCCTTCTTAATCACAGAAATAACGAGAGTCTGATCATCAAGTCCTGGCTTGTGCTTTAGACATAACCAGACAGAACAACAGCAAAGTTACTTATTAAATAAAGCATAGCAGGAAACATCTAATTACAGGACTAAAAATTTGCCATCTTGGGGCTAGGAGTTCATAGTAAAGTGCTTGCTGAGTATGCACAAAGTCCTGGGTTCCATCTCCAATGCTACAACACACACACACACACACACACACACACACACACACACACACACACACACACACCCCAAAAATGTACCTATTACCGCTTTGCTTGTCTAAATGTACAGAGATAAGACAATAGTCAGGTTTTCTAGTGTCCACAGTACTTGGTATACAATTATACACAAGGCCAATACTGAACCACAAGCCACACATTTTCCTTAACAGGCATGCTTTGACACAGCAGGAAAGGAAATATATAACAGCAAAATGATCAAAGGCAAGGAGCGAGGGACAGCCAAGTTATGCACATTCTATCTTATAATGGGCAAGCAAGTGGTCTTCTCAAGAATTCAGCTATGGTACCCCTGTAGCTAATGGAAATTCTATTACTCTTTTAGTCATCCAAATTAAAAACTTTAGGGTGCTGGGTTCGGTACCCAGTACCAGAAGGAAAAAATTAGCCAGCTTTGAGGCTGTTCTTGGCTCTCTCTTCCATACCACTGCATTAATCCGTTTTACTGTTGCTCCTTCATAATTCCTGGCCTTTCTCCCTCAGAATGTGAGAAATAGATATTCAAATGTCAGTCTTGTAGTGGTCTTCACCCATCTTGCAGTCCCACTATAAGCAAAAATACCCATGGCCTATATGATAAGTGATCCACTGTTTTTGAGACAGAAATGCTCACTGGGATTAGGCTACACTGGGCAGCAACCCATTCCTTTCTCCCTTAGATCTCCCAGCCCATGCAGTGCTGGAATCGTACACACCACTGTGTCCCTTCGCCTTAACATGGGTTCAAATCTGGGTTCTCATGCTTACACAGCAAGAGCTTTACCAACTGAGCCATCACCCCAGCCTGTCACCAAGTCTTATGGGTACCACTTAGATGGCTCACATCTAATCCAATTCATTTACTTACATTTGTTCAAACGAATTGAACCATAGGCTCAAAGATCTGGCTTACTTAATAATTCAGCATGTGTTAAATATGGACCTTGTATTCATGTTTCTTACTGATAAGACTTAACAACCTTCTTTCATTGTTTTGTGCCAATAATACAGAAATCAACAAATAATGACCCAACACCTGCTTTTATTAATTAAGCATCTTACACTTATTAAAAATAATCTGCCAGGATGTGGTGGTGCACGCTTTTAATCCCAGCACTCAGGAGGCAGAGGCAGAGGCAGATGAATCTCTGTGAGTTTGAGGCCATCCTGGTCTACAGAGCAAATTCTAGGACAGCCAGAGCTGTTACACAGAGAAACCCTGTCTCAAAAAAATAATAAGGCCGTTTCTTGCTATGGTAATGAAACTAAGTTACTGGGACAGATATGAAATTGGTGATCATTAAAAATTTTAATATCTGACCCTTAATAGATACAGCTTGCCAACTAAGATATAGCTTTCCGAAGACCTTCTTTAAACATAACCCAAGACCACTCATGTCATACCAGTGGGCTTCTGCCTATTGTAGAGACAAGGCCATTAAAACAAATGGAGAGCTACCAGCCACCTTACCAATTGTATGGCACAATATCTTGGTTTTTAAAATTAAAAATTGTGTGTGCATGCTGGGGTGGAGGGAGTACATGATCCACACATGTGGAGGTCAGAGGACAACTCTGAGAAGTCAGTTCTCTCCTTCCACTTTTATGTATGTTCCAAGGATTGAACCAAGGTCATCAGATTTGTGAGGCAAGAACCTTCACCTACCTGCTGAGCCATCTTACCAGCCCTATCTGCTGTTTTTACAAGATTAGAAATGATCAGAAAACAGAGCCATCCTCTCTTCAATTAACAAGGGGTCACCACATTTTGTATTACTGAGGAAGCCCAACAAAGCTTTCCTTTCCATTCGGTTCCAAAGCCAGAATCACTTACAATCTCCTTTCCCAGCTAAAAAGCCCTTCTCTTATTTTAAGAACTCAACATTTCAAAGCTCACCTGAGCCTAGATACAGCTCCCCTCCCCACTGACACCTCTACAGATCACAGTTACTGAATTGTTCCAGTCTCCTCCTCACTGGAGAGAACAGGTAGGCACCTTTCTGTGTAATCCCCTCCCTTAAGAACCATCAGCAGGCTTTGATACAAACACCCCCAGTTCAGGAGGTGCTCCTTGTGCACAAACTCAAAACTCTTTAGAAACCATCTTAGTCTTTGCTTTCATAAGCAGGTAGTCAGCTTCCCATTTCTGCCCTATAAGAAGTTCAAGCCAAGGTAATGACTCGAATAAGCCAATTGTCTAGAGTGCATGAATTAACTCGGGTCAGAGGGAGCACAGTCAACACTGCACAGAAAGGAATAAGGAGAGAATGAGGCAAAGACAGAGAAAGCAATCAACTATAGCTAGTTGAGTCACCCAAGACTCTTCCTGACACTTCATATCCTGGGCTAGCTGCAACGGTACACTACACACCTACCAGTCATTTCTTAGTAGCTAAGTCAAAGGATGAAAAAGATAAGCGAGCAGCTCTTCCCAAAGGAAATCATCATTATCAGAGACACAAAAGCAAGCAAATGATGCTCATCCCCGTCCTGAGGAGGAGCTGATGTCAAAAGGCAGACAATGATTTACAAATGTGTGACCAACAGTAGACCAAGCAAGGGAGTGGGAAATGAATACTTGCCAAAGACCACAGCATGCCTACTCCTGGATATATACACCAACCACTTCTTTGACACGTGTATGTACTAAGCATTATTCTGAAAATTGGGCAAAGGAGTAAAGTGAATATGCCATAATTTCTACTTGCTAGAGCTAACAGTCTAAGAGGGAAGGACAATCCTTAATAGTGCCATGGAAGAGAAATGGGCAGTATGCTGGGAAGGAGGGCGGAAGAATCCTTCACATTTGCTGTGTAACATGTAATATGGGCACTTTTATGTTTATAGTTGGCTGAAGTGCTTTCCAGAAAGTTCAGCTAGAAAACTGGGATAAATGGGAGGCGAGGGTGGCTTTGGGGTTGAAAGCTATGTACTGCAGTTCTGCTGGAGCCACTCAACAGCATATCGGCAGCTCAAAGAAAGTTTCCTACTCACAATGTGGGAGTTATTAATGTGCATCTCCCACATTAACTTCAAAGATGTTATGTTGGTGGCATACTAGCTATGAGTAGTCTCAGCTATGGGTATGCGAACATCAACAATTATTGGGTCATTCTTAGAATCTGGTCTGGTGGGGGAAAAAAGCTACTGAAGCAACGCACTTGCCTTTTCAAAGACATTGAAAACAGCCCGACCTAGCTTACGGAAGATGTATTCAGATTTGCTGTATGTTAGTTGACAAGAGGTTTCAAAGGGAAGCTTCACTCATTTAATCATAACAAAGTGTTCAGATGGAACAGTAATGAAGTCACAGACAGTAAAGCCTCAACTATCAAAGCTGCTCTTTACAAAACTTGAATTTTGCCACGGTTTGCTCAGTGGACTATAAGTGGTTAATCATTAACAGAGAATCTTGTTTCTTCTCTCAAAGTCAAGCAGAAAAAGACCGTTAAACCAACCTGACTCTCCACTGGTACCAAGTGAACATCTACTGACTTCTATCCTCTACTGCCAGCAAAGTTGTTCCTTGTAACGGGAATAACCACCTGATATCCCATTGTCTCATTGCAATGATGATACACAAGAATCTGTACCCCGGGCTCCCTTTTGGTCTCACATAACCTTCAGGGGCCATCTCCTTGCATGTGCATGTCTAGTGCAGACCAATCTAACAAGCAAGGCTCCCTAAATACATCAAAACGACTGCTAAGACTCAAGTCTCTCTGATGGTGTGCTACAGAGGGCAGTTTCTTGAATGGAAGGGATTGGGTAGAAATGGGCTTTGGGTCTGAAACCTGAATATTTGGGTCTGAAAACTGAATCTCAGTTCTGATGGGGTGTGTGTGATACCAGATTAGCACTTCCTCTCAGACAGAAGGGCTGGGCAGCTTAAAGTCTTAGTTCTACATGCTGACCTTCGCCCTTTATTGCTACCTATATTTCATCTTTGGAGAATTGTTCAATTACAGAAATCTGTCAAGCCTTCTAAGTCCTCTCATTACTATTTGCTAAGCTTCTTTTAAAGTGTTAGCACAAATATAGCTATAACATCACATTTCTCTGCAGGTTCCAGTTGTTAATGTGAGCTAACTAGCCAAGCAGCACAGCCAGCTCCATAGAATGGAACAGCAGGCATTTCTAACACTGGATTATCCTCAATACAATCCTGTGACTTTATCTTCAGTATCTTAAGAACTACAGCTCAAGAAGACAGTCAAGGGGAAATTATCTCAAAAGCTTCTTGAACTTCTTCCTGGGCAATAGTATCTACTTTATAACACACTCTTGGGAGCCTAATGATTTACCTAAGTTCTAGAAATATAGGCTAAAGATTTTAATATTAACATTTAAAATGAACTTTGAGTTCAGTCTCTACTAATTTGGGGGAAGCTGTATTAAATTTTGTGAATAAGGCTTTTGAGAGTTGGAGAAAACAATAGAATGGCAGTTTCCTATCTAATCACTCCCTATGTATTTGCAGCACTGAATACCTATGAGTCTTCAAACACACACATGATGCATACAGAAAATGTAAGTAAGTCACTTCACGTTTCTGTCATTTTCGAATTAGGACAAGATGACTTTTATGTTTCTGAAGCAACCCACAAGGCCAAGATGGAGCTTTCAGAGGAGGGCACCAAGTCATCGGCAGCCACAGGTACATCCAGAAGTCCAAGCACTCAGCAGTGTAGAGCGGCTCACGCAGGTCTAGCCTTGTTGAGTCTGCCCAGTTGACTCCAGCAGTAAACCACACCACTTAAGCCCAAGCCCAGGTGTGATGTCGCCTTTTTTTTTAAATGACAGAAGCCAAAATCTTTTGAAAAGCAATGATACCAATTTTAACAAAGTATCATTGTCCCAATCAACAAGGAATAGATAGAATCATACAGCATTACACCTTTGAGGGAAGCTATTTCATGGAATATTTTAAAAATGAGACACAGGATTGGTTAAGTAGTATCTTTCCTCTTTAATTTCACCATTTGCACTCCCATAGTACCACACAGAAAAATGTCACTAAGATGTTTCGACTCCTTAAAGACAAATCAAGGTTAGTACCTATGTATCTACATCTGCATGTGCTCTGCAGTGAACAGGAAATGTGACAGGGTCTATTCTCTCCCCAGCCGTGCTGCTGCTGAGGAGGTCCCGGACTCCTGCTTTTAAAGCAGATCGGCCCTTCATCTTTCTTCTGAGAGAACACAGCACAGGTACTGACTCTTAAAATTTGGATTCAGACATTTATCTTCATCTCTCTAGCAACCTAATTTTACTTATCCATTATAATCTCAAATAAGTATTTCTTCTGGTTCTTTCTATGGTGTTTTCCTAGCTGCTGCTGTCTTACACCCTGAGAAAGGAAATTATTTCATAGTACAAAGGAACCTCTTCCTGGCTTTTACTTTTCCATTCTACTTATTTGCAGCTAATGCTGACCTTTTTTAGTTGAGTACATTTCTGCTCTAGAGACTTAAAAAGCTATGAAAACACAAGTCAATCAAATCTTGCCTTCCTTGTTGCTGTCGTTTCATTTTAGAAAAGACAGTTTTTCCAGGCCAAGATACATCACAGAAATCACCTAGAGACTCCAGTATTTTAGCGATGCACAGATTTCTATGCTGTTTGCTGGCCTTTCTCAAAAACCAAATACTTGTCATAGTACTTTCCCAAGTCTCCAGAGACAGGAGACTCAATGCAAAGATGGCAGGCACAGGTTAGTCTAGCTAGCACAACAGGACAAGCAGATGCCCCTAAAGTTCAGCAAGATTCAAAATAGTCTTTCAACTATTTTTTCCCTTAATTGTTCTCCCAACAATTATTGGCCTCAAAAGGAAGAGATTCTCAGTAAAGAGTTGTTGGCAATTCTCAGTAGTGTTTAAAACAACAGTATGAACAAGATTAATAAAATCAAGCCAAGGTGGATCTACTTTAACTAAACATCAGGCAGTACTTTTATTTGTGGAAAGAAAAAAAAATACCGAGAAAGTCTGAATGAAACTTAGTATAGTTTAACAGACTGTTAAAAGGAAATACTGTCAACATCATTTTATCTGAGAATCATTTGTATACTGCCATAACTTGTGCTAAAAATCAAAGGAACATTTCATGACAAAAAGGATGTAGCTAGTCATTCCCTGGAAAATAATCTGCTTGGGGATCATTTGGGAAGAGTGTTCATAACAGACAATGTCCGTTTAGTATTCACCATGACCACTCCAACCCCAGAGACTGCCGACTAGACAAACATGATCACTCAGAGCAGGCAGCACAGAGTATGTCAAAAAAAAAAAAAAAAAAAAAAAAAAAAAAGGTAACAAAAAGACACAGTTTAAACCCTCAAACAAAGAGGGAGGACTGACCTTGAACAGAAGGGCCACTGCAAAAAGCTCATATCCAATAAAGGGGACAATTAGAAGACAAACAACAGATTCTTGAAATTCAACTGTATAAAAGCCATGTAAAGTTGTTGGACTAGAAAAAGACATCACCACTTCAATGGTATAAATTTGAACTGCTCTAGTAATCAGAATGAAAATATAGGTCTAATCAAAAACTAGTTGCCTAATTCACCACAAATCTTAGTCCCTGTGGCTTTTCCTTTCTGGAAGGTGGTTGTTCACATTACCCAAGGCAAAGTGGCTCCTTTTCTGATATTACTGAAGGGATTATAAAGTTTCAGCTGAGGCTCAAAGGTGGTTCAGTCATTAAGAGCATTTTCTTCACTTGTAAAGGCTCGGCTCCTAGCACCCACATGGAAACTCACAACAATCTGTAACTCCAGTAGTTCCAGGGGGTCTGACACCTCTTTCTTTTCTGGCTTCCACAGGCACCAGGCATGCATGTGGTGCACTAACATACATGTATGCAAAATACTGAATACATAAAATAAAAAATAACCTTTTAAAAAAAGCCTCATCCTTCACTTTTAAAGCTTACAAGTCTTAAATTGATATAATCAATTAAACAATCAATCAACAAATGAACACATAGGAGAACACTAAAAAAATTACCTAAAAACTCCAATATTAATCTTTGGAGAGTCCCACTTGTCCAGCATAGCATCATTCCATGACCTCCAAGACTTAAAAATACCAACCCCCAGGTCTACCCCCCCCCCCACCCTTACCTTTGCTGACAAGGATTCAGTAGAAATTTCACTAGCTTAACTAATAACCTGCCCACCATTTTTAAAAGGCAAAAAGCCTGAGATGCCGGGCGGTGGTGGCGCACGCCTTTAATCCCAGCACTCGGGAGGCAGAGCCAGGCGGACCTCTGTGAGTTCGAGGCCAGCCTGGGCTACCAAGTGAGTCCCAGGAAAGGCGCAAAGCTACACAGAGAAACCCTGTCTCGAAGAAAAAAAGAAAAAAAAAAAAAAAAAAAAAGCCTGAGATGAGATCTTAAGCATTAGTTTTGATAGGCTGCAAACTTTGGGACTAAGTTTTAGTATTATCACGTAAAGAGTATTATGCCAGACAGATTGGTGTGTGTGTGTATGTGTGTGTGTGTGTGTGTGTGTGTGTGTGTGTGTGTGTGTGTGTGTGTGTGTGTGTGTGTGCAGAGACAGAAGAATCTGTTTTATAACTCTGTTGGAGGGTTCACTCTGGAAAAAGTAATAAAGGCAGAAGATCAGAGCACTTTTCCACCAGTAGCCTGCAACATAACCCTTCCAAGGACAGCTCCCCAGGTGCTCTAACTTAAGTATAACTTCTACTGAAATGACTCCAGTGTTCCCAATGATCTTACTCTTAATCCATGGAATTCACAACCACAAAGTCAATCTGGATTTTGTCTAGTTCCTACTGAATTTAGCAGCGTGACTATAGGCAATGACTTCAATAATTCCATCTCTAAATTGTATCTTCAATTACTTGCAGGTATTTTGAAGAGGTAAGAAATGTTTAATGAACTGTTATATGAAAATACTACAAGTCACACTAAATGCTTCTTTTTCTTTACAGGGTTTGTCTTCAGTATTGGGAGAGTTTCAAATCCCCTTGACTAAAATAGCACATCTCAAGAATGTTCTATGTATGCTTTCCTTCATAAATATTTACAATTTCTTTTAAGGGTATGTGATTTCCAAATATTATTAATCTAAAAATAATTCATTAAAAAAATAATTTTGGAAGCTTTTTTCCCCCTCAATTATTCCAAATCTAAAAATCCTAACCTTTTCTACTGTATCCCTCCAAACCACTAAAAGGCACAGCAGTGATCTATGAATGGGTGCACGAGTCAGGACACAGGGTCCCATCCTGTGTAAGGGTGTGCAGCCCTGTGAGGATAGAGAACATAAGTACCAGATAGCCTCATCCTGTGCAAGTCCGGGGCAAACGAAAAGAGCACAGTCATCTTCTAAGTAACAGTCTCAGTGTCAGAACCAAGAGATCCCCTCTGAGTCACCATGTCACGGACTCATGTAAGCATGACATGGGACCAAATTACCACATACTAGACATTTCAGAATGTGACATAAACCTACCATGCCCTAACTAATGGCTAGACTTGAGTGTCATCCAAATCCTGTGAGAAAGGTTAAAGGGTGCTAGGAAACTTGTAATACCCCCAGTAATCTACTTTTAAAATTGTTTTTTAAAACGTGTCTGTCTGTCAACCATAGGCATAACCATTCCCATTATCTAAGTAAGAGTGGAATATGCTGGCATGGCCAACAAAAACTAAGAACATATATTAATAAAGACAATGCAGGTTATGTAACATATAATTACAATAGTTTAACAAATATTAAGTTGTGTATTTTTCAATGCTAAAAAGCAAGGCCTTTAAAATTCCATTGTCTTAGAATGTTCTTAAGTAGTTACTTTAAATGTGATTATTTCCTAAACCACACAAGAGTAAAATAGAGCATTTATTGATGGAATAACAAAAGTGCTTTTCTTAAATATTCTTCAAAATACATTTGTACAACTTACAATAATATATCCAAAATAACTGTATATACAAAACATTACCTAGTTCTTAATGTATGTGCTTTTTTCCCCAAAAATTACAAAGTAACTTCTTTTTAATTTTTTTTCTTTTTTTTTTTTTTGGCAAAGTTCAACCTTAACAGAGCTGACAATTTTAAAGGTTGGTTTAAGAAAATATAACCTGAGGGAAACTGACACGCAAGAGCCAATGACAAGCGGAGGATTTGGAGAACAGTTTTAGTTTGTTAAATTTAAAAAAAAAATTAGTGATACTTTTAACATTACAAAAATAAACCAAAATGAAAAGGTCACTGTAAAATGATGGAAAGGATCTGTAGACTGTTTTTAGTATTTCAAATAGCCAACAATGCATGTCAAAGAATGAATGCAAGATTACAACAGTCTTGTATTTACTTTGTATTTGGAGAAGACAGTGAAATAAGTGGCCACATTCTATTTTCTTTTAATTGCTATTAATATGGTTGATTTGATTGGCTCTTCGATGAATTTCATCCAAGAAGTTCTCCAGTTGTTCTATTAGCATTCGTTTTTTAAACCTGTGGGAGAAAAGTAAAAACATTCTCAATTACTTCTTAATGGACAGCATACATAAATTATTATGTTTCAAAAAGAAAAACTGGTTTGGGAAAAGATTATTTATTTTAAAGTAGAATGAAAATGAAAACCAACACATAAGATCTGTTGGGAAATGCCTAAACATGAGTTAAACAAGGATAACACCAATAGACACATGCTAAAGTGGACAGGGGAAGAAGCTCATGAGGTCTCAACCCTACACAAAGAACTAATAGGCAACTAAAGAATGCTGTGAGCGAGAGAAACAGTCTTCCTCCAGGAAGAGCACACCAATTGGTTATGCAATAACAAATGGTCAGCCCTTAAAATAGACATACAAAAGTAACACTACACAGACCAAGCAGGTTATATATATGATTGTGTGATACACACACAGAGTGTTTTATTTATATATACATACACACACACACACACATACATACAAGCAGCTATATGTATGTAACAACAGTTAATAATAGAAGAGGATCTGGATTTGAAAGAAAGCAGGGGGGTTATATGAGAGGTTTTGGAGAGAGAAAAGGGAAGAGGGAAATGTCATAATACTATAATCTCAAAAAATAAACAAAAGAAAATATTTTTTTTTAAATCTGTTGGGGACTAGCAAGACAGCCAACCCTGAACCCTGATGACTTGAGTGTTCAATCTCGACTCCTAAAAGTTGTCCTCTAACCTCCACATGTGTACCAAACATACAAAATAAACTGGTACAAACTTGATGAAAGACTTGTAAATTACTCTGCATACCAGAACAGAATTAAAGAATTTTTTCCTTAAAAGAACAAATCTAGTCCTAGGAACAATGGGAGAGTGGTCATCCTTCCTACCAACAAAAAGGAAGATAAAAGGAGAAAAATACTAATGTACACAAGGATTCCAAACATTATAGTAAAGTTGGATCCCAGAGCAGTTACTGTAGTACCATCTAGTCCTTTTTGAAAAGTGAGTGTTGAAAGAATGGAAACAAGAAATACAAGTGCCTACAAAAGGAAATGGAAAACGGGGAGCAGCATGTGAAAGTCACAGGCTCTACTACATTTGAGGACTAGCACATCAAGTGGAATAAGGTATCTACAACACAGGATATAGAACACAACATGTTCTTCAGTACCAAATATAAGTAGGCTAAAATTATATACACAAAATCATTACTATCACTCATGTTTTTTAGAGTATCTCAAAATACTGGATGTTCTGTTCCTACTGCTTTCTTACTAGTAAAATGATGCAAACAGGCATCAAGTTCTACGACAAAAGTGGCTGAAAGACAGATCCAAGGAACACAACAAGATCCAAGATGCATCAGTATGGGGACACACACCTAGAATCCCCAGCATTGGGAAAACTAAGGCAGAACGAATCTAAGTCAAAACGCTGGGTCAAAAATCGTCTACACTAAAAATTCAAGGCATGCTTTAAACTGAACAAGACAGAATAGTTTTCATTAAAAGCTGAATAATTTAAAATATTTCAACTTATATGAAAATGTATATATAGCTTTATTTTGATCATTCAAGTAACCCACGCCCAAGCCACTCAACAAAACAAAACAAAATCCTAACAAAAGCATATATTCTCAACCTTCCTAACATTACAATATTACCTTTCAAGGTTATTTCTAGTCACTTAAAATAATTATTAATATAGAAAGGGGGAAAAATTAAAGATTTACAACAAACATCAAAAAGCAACAGAGAAGAAAAAAAAGAATTTTAAAAGAAATGTAGTAATTTACAAGGGAAAAGGCCCATAATTCCTCAAGGGTTTGTATGTGTATTTCAATGAACAACTTTGAATTACCTAAAAGGGGGCTGGGGCCGGGACCCACACATTTCAACGAATCAAATGCATGCATAAACTCAAGGGCATAACAACTGCCATTCAAATATCATGTATGCAGACTGAAAACCATTCATTAGTATTTAGTAACAAACAAGCTCCTTTACCTGGATGCTTCCTTAATGACATTCTGTAAAAATATTAGCCTTGTTTGTAAACTGCCTTGCACATGCTTCAGTAAAGTGAAGATTCTTTCATATTCTTAAAACAAGAGAAGGAAAAACAATTAACTGGCTTTATTTGTATTCTCACAATGTTTCTCCTACAGCTTCTTTGCATTGAGATATACTCAGACAAAAATATTCCATGTAAAAATGTTACCACCGTTAACACAGATACAGGTGCCCTACTTGTTAGAGATGTGCATGAAAGTATGTATCATCAAAAATTAAACAACTTGCCAAGGCCTCCCTCTCCCCCGCTTTTTTTTTGCCAAAACTTCCCAGTATGACAGCAAGCCAGCTTAGAGATGAATGAATTAAAGAGCTCTGCAGTCATTTGGAGAAACAGGCAAACAGCCTTTACAGAAATTCTAAACTCTAACACAATGGAAAGAGAAAACCCCAAAAAGTTAAAGGCACTGCTTCAGTTTCCAGTTTCCAGATCTAACTCTGTCCAAGATTCCACAAGTTCCTGAATGCCCTTCCGCTGCATGTCATTATACCATCACAGTAGTGATGGCCTGGTTATATCCTGAATGGATGCCATCACTACTCACAGTTCTTGTACCCAGAGTTCTCTCGCACTCATGTGACAGTCTTAATGACTTTGGTTTGGGGCTAAAGCACATCCAGGCAGCTATCATAATTCATACATGGTGGCGGGCAATAGAGAGGTTTTCAAGGGGCTTGCAGAAGGGGCATGTTGAGAACTGAACTTTGGGCTATACAGGTGCCCTACTTGTTAAATACACTGTCAGCCCAGCACTCAGTCATTTAGTTGTCTGTCCGGGTTCACTGTTCTACTAAAATTTCAACTCCTAGTTGGAATAACAGTCAAGATTCTGGGTCCCTGTTATGGCAGCTACCTGACTACATCTCTAGAGCCCTCTTTAGATAAATTCCCTACTGTCTACTACACTGGAGTACCATGAGCACCGAGATTATTCAGTGTTTTCCAGCTCAATAAGAACTTAAATCTTAGAGAGTTCAGAGAGTACTTCAAGACTGATCTAGAATCAGACATATGCTTTAGTGAATTTGACTGTTTTTGCTTATTTGAACACATAAAGAAATCAACAAGTTTTCTCTCTCATTCTACATACTTCTTCCTGGCTTTCGGATCTCTTTCATTATTTGTGCTTTTAGTTCAGTGTTGACCTCCTCATGGCTTCTGCAATGCACCGATTTCTTTCCTTTGCTGAGTGAAGATGCTGGTATATTCTCTTCAGCACTTTGTTCTTTATTTCTTGGCTCGTCATGATTTTCTAAAAATCCACCAGCAGTGAGGTCATTATTTCCTAAATGTTCATGACCAAGGGCCTCTGTATGATTGGTTGATGGTTCCAGAAGATTGGCTGGAGATGTTAAAAATTCAGTATCCATAGCATTTGGTGTCATGTCTGATGAAAGCTGGTCTGCAACGTGATTTTCAACCACATCATCTACTGTTGAATCATTAGTGGCTTCTGAAATGAAATCAAAGAAATGAAGCCAAAAGTGAGACCCAGTATTAAAGCAAACAATAAAAATACTCAAGTAACATAATTACTACTAATAACTCATTTCTTAGACTAAGACATACCAACATTATAATATGGTTCTTAGGCTTTGCCAAAGATACAGTATATCAATATGAAGCATTCGTAACACTTACAGAAACCTGCAATTCTGCCCTTAGAAAGAAATTTAAAACAAAGCTTATTTTAGCTTTCAGTTTTCTACCTTAGTTTAGCAATTTTTATTAAACAAGTTTTCAGTACTTCAGAGAAAAATACATCACTAAAATTGTCACTGTCAGCTTTAGAGTTCTACCTACCTCATTTTAAGCCTACTTTTGTCTTATAAACCTGCTGTTCTTTAGAGAGAAAAGTGCACAATGATGTTTACTGCTCAGCATTCTACAGGGAACCCCAAACAGGGCACACTTCACAGCACATGTTTTCTAGCCATCCTTTCAGGCCCCAGCCATGCAACACTTTGGTGCCCACTTTAGCTCATTAGATCAGTAGACCCAAAAGCTTGCCAATAAATACAAGACTCTTAGACGTGACTCCTAAAGTGTGGATTGTTCGGCCTCCAGAACAGCAGCTGAACTCATCTCAGCCTTTTGGCTAAGGTTGAGGCTAAAAATCACAATAATTTCTGCTTTAATGAAAACCTAGCTCTCCTATTTAAAAATAAAAACAGTAACACTGTTCTCCTTT